GGCACAGACCTAAGGCCAAGGTCACAGGGAGCTCACACTTGCGGAAGTGAAAGTGAGGTCTCCAGAGCAGACGTGGAGTGCAGCTCCTTGGCTGCCATCCTCACCTACCCCGATTCCCCACCCGAGGCAGCCTTCCCCTGTGGGCAAGTGATAAACCACCCAAAGGCCTCTCACCTAGCAGGAGGTTTGCAAAGGTATTTAATTGCCTGAAGACAGGCGCCGGCACCCAGGGCTGGAAGCGGTTCCTGCGCCAGGGGCTGGGGGAGCACGGAGCAGTCCTTCCCCACCAGCCCTCACCCCAGGAGGAGTTTAACACACTCATACAGCATCTTCCTCAGCCTTTAATTACTGCGGTTTCAGTGCAGTGAGCTTCAAGGCAAAGATTTGTTCGAAATAAAATGGAAGAACGTTCCCGTTGTTTTTACCTAAATGCATTTGAAGTAAAATTTAAAAGAAGAAACGACACCTCTGAAATGTGGGGTGCATCTTGGCTGGTGTAGATCAGCACAGGTCCTCCCACACCAATGGAAATAGGTAAATTTACACCTCCTTGGAGGCATTGTTTTTTGTTGTTTTTTTTTTTTTTTAATTGGCCTACATCTCTCTTCCCTGCGTATTTTCACCATATGCCCAGGGCTGAGAGGAAAGAGCCCATCTGTGCTCTCAGCGGTTCATCTAAACAAACACAGCAGAACACACAAAGTCAGCCATGGTGAGCGACCGCAGGCCTGGCTCACGGCTACCAGGGAGCAGCAGCCCGGCGTCACGGCCAACAGCACCACCGCCGCCCGCCGGCACGGGGAAGGTGCGGCAGCGCTGCTGCACGGCGGCTCTGGAGGAGCACCCTGGGCGGTGCCTCTGTGCGGCGGTGCAGGGACGAGGCATGGGGAAGCCGCCAGCACGGGTGCAGGCACAGGCACAGGTGCAGGCAGGGGTGCCGGCCCACGCGGCTCCCAGAGGCAGCAAATATTCTGAAACCACAGCCAATGTTTTTGAGAAAAGTTAAGCAGTTTTATTCAACGGGATGAGTCCACACCCAGCCAGTGGCTTCATCTACATGGCATCATCAGCATACATGACAGAGGACCCACTCAGACACTCTAGCTGAACGGCATCTCACCATACGTTACAGAGACAACACCAGAGGAGGAGGACGACCGTTACAAAGGGCAGCCAGCCAGCGGTTTCCTACGGCTTACCCGTCGTAACCAAACCCATCCCCACCAGACTACGCAGCCCAGCCACTCGGAAGCAGATCAGACTCGGGACACCTACTGCCGCACTGTGAAAACCACAACACTGCTAGTTAAATAACACAGTCCAGGGTTTACAAAAATGACCTACCAGGGGTACTTCAGCCTAAGGAAGAAAGTGCACTGCCATCACCGCCCTGGGGACCGACACACTTGCGCACACTGCTGAAGAGTCTGTACAGAGAAGAGATTGGCGTGGGTGCCATTGCTTTCGAGTCAGCACCATGGGAGGCGATGCTGAGCCCCGGGGAGGGTGGGCAAGCGCCAAGCTGCCCCTCCCGGAGGCAGCCACGGCACAGGACGGGGCAGGTCCACGGGGACCCGGCGGGGTCTGCAGGAGCCGAGCGGGAGGTCGGCACTCGCTCTGCACAGCAGAGAAACAACTGCTCCGTGAAGACGCTCTCCTCTTGGCTGCCACGTCCCCGAAGAGGGGCTGCGTCTGCGCCGGTCCCTCCGGACCCTCGCCCGGCGAGGCGGTGGGAGGCAGGAGCGTGGCCCCTTGGGGAGGGCGCTCCCACCGCCCGCTCACATCAGCGACTCAACCGTAAGTTTTCACAGAGAAAGCTCTGTGAACTCTCTGAAGCCTACAGTCTTTACACCTTTAGAGAGGTATCGAGGATCAGGGTAAAGTTACTCATGAAACATGAGCAGGTTCCAGTTATGATACTCCTACAATGTACACGTTTCAATTTTGTGCCAAGTTAGCTTACAGAAAAATACATTTCTTCCCTTAAATTTACAGTAGTTAAAACTACAATTTGAATACCGTATTAAAAAGGGGTAGTTTATTCTTCAACAAAATGTCTTGGTTTTCTTTTCTTTAAAAAAAAAAAATAAAAAGGACTTTAAAAGCAATCAAACCCAGCACAACGCAACTGTACAAAGGAAATCATGATGTGTACAGCTCCTAGGACATTAACTCCAAGCATTTGTTCTGGTGCTCAAAAAGGCACTTAAAGATAAGAAAACAATTGTATTAAAAACCCACAACAAAACAAAGGAAAACAAAAGGCAATAATTTAATAGAAAGGGACTGGAACTTGTACCGTATCTTCAAAAGTAAGAAGGGAGGGGAAAAAAAACCACCCTAATAAACATGGTTTTGCTATCAAGTCATCTTTGAAAGTATATAAAAAAACCAGAAGACTAGCAAAGTGAATGTTCTCCAGGAACTAAATGGGGAAAAAAAAAAAAAAAAAATATTACTGGCAACGAATACACAGCTCTCGTGCCAAATGGGTTTCTTCCCTCCCCCTAAAAGCACGTTTGCTGGTTCATTACTAGACCAGACTGACAGACTGTTTGAACATCTGCTGCCCGTAATGACAGAGGCATTGACCTCAGGGTTAGCCTAAGTTAGGAAAGGGGGGAACAATTCTGAAGAAAAATAAACATCAATATGAACTAATTGTGGTAATTACAAATGTCAACAATGTTAACAGACAAGTACATAAACACCATTTCCCCTTACAGCATTATACAGAGGAACAATGACAGAATCACTACATACAGTACTTCTCCCCCACTGTACACTGAAAGGTTAGCTTTGTGGCTTTGTTTTTTTATTTTTTTATTATTATTATTATTGGGTTTTATTTTTACATTGAGCTACCTACTAAGTGCAAAGATTTGGTGAGTGGCATTGGCTTTCATCTAATCTTAGCCTATTTTTTGTACAGTTTACATGTTAACAGTTACTTTCCAGCATTTAAGCAAGTACAGCAATATATACACAGACTGGCAGAGGCAGGAGCCGGGCAGGAGCAGGGTGCGTGGAAGGGACACATGCGTGTGCACTGGGCACGGGAACAAACACCGGGCCAGTCCCGCCGGGTTTGCAGCCAGCGCGGAGGTACGGGCTGCCTCGCACAGACACGGGGCGGCTGACACACGCCAACACGCGTGGACGCACTACGGGCAAGCTCCCCAGCCGAGACGTGAGCTGCGGCAGGATCGCGCCTCCGCTGCCTTCTGGAAGTCAGGCTGCTTCTCCAGCCACGCGCGAGCTGGGGTCTGCAGCGGTGCTGGAGAGAAGAGGAAGATGAAGATGAAGGGGGGAACAAACAAAAGCCCTGGGCAGGGGCAGGTGACTGCTGGGTGAGGCAGGAGGGCTCGCTAGCTTCTTTGCCCAGGGACAGACAGAACAGCAGAAATCAGAGATAGCGGGAAGAAAGGATGAACATTTAGGAGCCGTTAGTGTGGCTTTTCTATGCAGCTCAGACACGATGGCCTGTTTCACGCTGGGGTTGTACGTGATCATGTAGAAGTGACCAAATTAAACCACGGGTCATCGCATGGAAATCTGTACAGGAAGAAAAAAAACTGCAGGAGAAGCACAGAGTGTCTTGAATTCAGCGCTTACAGAAGAGACTTGATTATCAGACAAAGTAATATGCAATCCCCAGCTCTTTCTGCATATTTTTTCTCTAGGTTAAATGTTCAGAGGAAAAACAAAATGTAGATTCTTTTGCATAAACTCAAACTGTTGTATTATATAGTACAGTACAGAAAGTGCAAAATATCACCCCATCAGATCGGTTCCGCATCTGATATGGTCAAATATGGCTCATGCTTTTCATGCAAGACGACGCAATCTGAATCAAGACCCTCATGTACTGCTGTGCAACTTCAAATAAAGGAACGTTGTTGTACCAAAGCCTCCTCGCCTGTTTAGTCCTATCTGTTGAGATACCACTAGGTTTTTTTTACAAAAACAAGAAAAAAAAAAAAGTGTGTGGGGAAAGGGAAATGAAGCATCTCAAAACTGTGTAAGTTACTGTATTTATGCTTTACCACAGGTTTGTCACCAGTCCTTGTTCATTCTGAAGTCTTCAAGAAAATCAGAGTTCTGTGGACCCCACGGTGCAGGCAGGGCAGCGCTGTGCCCCGGTGCAGCAGCTACGTCCTTCTCCCTGCGGGAAGCCAACAGAGCACGCCTCGTTTTCTGTCCCTGCTCCTGCGGGTGCCGCTGGCCAGGGCGTCACAGCACACGTGAAGGCATCTCGGGATGAAAAGACACTCCAGCTGGCCTGACACACATTGTCATTTATGAATTTCCAGCTCTTCTCCATAGGCCAGCAATGAACAAAACCCACTGTGTCTCCCCCCCCTCCTTTTTGTTTTTTTTTATAAATGCCAAGAGGTGAAGAAAATAAATTCCAGGATTGGCCTTGTATTGCTTGACGCACAGCTGCTACGTACCTCCACGCACACACACGCACACAAATAGCCTGGAAAAAAACCCAAATTAACCCAACATCTCTAGAGAGGACATTTCAGAGCCAGTTTCTGAGGTAAATCTACTTTTTAAAAAAAGTCATCGAATTCTGTACACTTTTTTTTTTTTTTAATTTTTCTTTCAACTTAAGGC